GGTTTCAGCCCTTGCAGCCTGAATAAAAGAGTCGGAAATGAGGCTGCTCCATCAAACAGCCCTCTCCCTCTCTACAGCCGGGATTCTGACGGGACAGCTGGTGTCAGCGGGTTCAAACGCCGCTCACAGCCTGCACTGAGCATGAACCCCACAGCCCTGCCTGCACGGTGCAAGCTGGGCTGACGGAGGAACCACCACGTCTCACGCTTCCAGCTGCAGGAGGAACACGGCCCACGCCACCACTCGCAGACAAACGCTCCCCGGAGAGGCAGGTCTCTCCTCCCAGCCACCGAGTCCCCGAATTTGCTCACCCGTTCGCGGAGCAGGGAGATGCAGAAATCCACCTCCTTCTGCCGAAGGACCTGGAGCTGAGATGTGCCGTGATGGTCCACGATGAGCCGGAGGTACGTGTACACCGCCATGGCTATCAAGAGACTGCTCTTCAGTACCCACTCCCTGCGAAGGAAGCAAAAACCAACCTTCAGCCACCTCCGTGAGGGAACCACAGCAGAAGCAACACAAACATGGAGACTCAGGGCAGAGGAAACTGAGGTGCAAAGGGAACAGCAAGGGCAGGGCCTCCAGCACGTTGTGCCAGTGAAAATGCTCATCCATGGATTGTTCCCTGCTCCGTAGGTGCTTGCTGTGCTTAGTCTTTCTCCCCCAGGGCAATCCCATAACACCCCAAGCTCTCTGCAGGGTGGATTTCCAGGGACACAGAGATGTTCACCGTCACGACAACCTGAGGTATGTGCCACTGCAAGCAATAATGTGCTCAGGAGCGAGTGGGGGGAGCTGCGGCCCCACAAACACACTTGACCTTGGTGGTAGCGCTGATGGCCACAGGAGCCTCTGTACTGGTCTCCACAGCCAGAGCAGCACTGAGCAAGAGACGACGCACCAGGACAAACTGTGAAGGACCTTCCCGGACAACCAGGCCCCAACTGCTCTCACACACACCCGTGCACCGTACACCAGGCTCTGTACCCAGGACTGGCTTTTTGGAAGCAGATTTATTTCTCAGCCAACTGGCCCCACATCCTGACCACAGTCACTTTAGCCCTGCTCCCTCGGAGCGGCGGACCCCACCGGCAAAGCGTGCCCATCAGCGGCTCCGCCACTGTCGCCTCCTGGCCTCGCTGCGGCAGTGCCCTGAGTGCTGGGTGTGCCGTGTTCTCAGCCTCCCTTATCTGAGCACAACAATAAATACCCTCGCTCCAAAGGATCTCGCCAGCTTGGTTATTTGCACTGGATGCCAAGAGCCTGGCCGACTCGGTGCCTCCAGTGTGATTGATCACCCACAGCATCCCCTGTAAATCACAATCCGGTGGAAGTGCCACCGCTGCAGGCAACAGCCCTAACGCCATGGCCACCCGAAGGGACACCAGCCCAGCGGCAAATGAGACTGCCCTAAATCAGCGGGGGGAGCCTGGGAAGACGTGACAAGCTGTTGCTTTCCCAGGCTTTTCTCCCTGTATCTAAGCTGGACGCGAGGAGCAGGTTAATTAGGTGGGCGGGTGGGCTGGCCTGGCAGCACACAGCGCTGAGGTCATGTTAGGGAGGATGTGGAGTAATTAAGGCCGGGATCCTGGGGAGGCCAGCAGGTCAGCATCTCCCCCTTTTCCCAGTGAGGGCTGCACAGAAAATAAAAATGCTGTCACGGGGTGGAAAAGCCACCCACAGCCACAGGATTCATGGATCCGAGAGGCAGAGGAAGGCAAACACGCGGAGGAAGCATCGCACTCAGCAGCGAGCAGCTAACAGACACCCGGCTTTCGAGAGGCAGCCGACTTGCCCCGCTCCGAGGCGGGCAGGGCTTGAGCAGCAGCTCTGCTGGAACGGGTTTTAATTAAAGCCCAGCGCTCAGCGCTCCGAACGTGGCAGTCGATCTTCACATGCGCGGCTTTAATCAAAGCTCTGGCTTTCCCCTAAGCAGAGCACATAAATCCCAGCCAAGAGCTGCAGGTCCTCCCTTGGGCTCGCTCCCAATCCTTCGCTCTCCGAGTGCCGTTCCTGCGCGGCTACGGCGCGTCCCACCAATACCCCAGCAATGCCTTCGGCGAGGGGTCGAGCCTTTCCTCTCACATCTGCTCCGCTGACAAACTCCTCCAGTGGCCAAGTTCAGCTTTCTCCTGCAGACCCACGGCCAGATGTGGCTTGGGGTCGGCCCTGGAGCGGT